CTTTTCAAAGAACCAGCTATTGACTTTGTTGATTTTCTTCACCATTTTCCTATTTTCAGTTGCATTGATTGCTACTCTAACTGTTATTCTTTCTTTCTTCTACTTGCCTTAGGTTTTTGTTACTCTCATTTTATTGCTCTATTTTCTCCTGAGAGCTTATCAAATTGTGAATTATAACTCTGTCAGTTTGTTGAATATCAATTATACTTCAATAACACTATTTTTAAAAAGACTGGCATGTCATATATAAATTGGAAAAGAGAAAGAGTTTGCTTCATGACTGGCCCCCTGACTCTAACTAGTTTCAAAATCAAGTAAGACACGTTGGTGAGGATTTTTTCCCATAGATATCTACATCACCATGGAAACACCCTCCTCTATCCCCAGAAGGTGACAGTGTAATGACTGACATTATAGAATAATTGAGATTAGTGAATAAAATGGCCAATCCACACTAGATTCTCATTTATGACTACCTTGGAGACAACAGGAGCTCGCAGAGAACTTTAGGAAGATGGACTAATCATGGATCTAGGAACTCCTGTTCTTTGAAGCTTACTCATGCAACCTCCAAGAAAAACAGGGACTTACCTATTTTTGCTCACCACTGTGTCTCATTTGCTAGTCCAGGATCTGTCACATCGTAGAAATATGGGATATGATCAGGTAGTTAAGCACCCCTGGGTTTAATCCCTGGTACTCCCCCCAAAATAGAGTCTGGGTAAAGAAAATGCTATATATAAACACAATGGAATTTTATAGAAGACACAGAGGTAACCCACATAAATACAGTTATTTCATACTAGACAAAGGCATCATAAACATATATTGAAGAAAAGAGAGCCTCTTCAAGAAGTGGTGCTGGGAAAACTGGAAATCCCTATGTAGTAGAATGAAACTGAGCCCCTATCTCTCACCCTGCACAAAACTCAACTCAGAGTAGATCAAGGAGGCATTAGACAGATTTACCCTGTGCTTACTAGAAGAAAAAAATAGGCCCAACTCTCCATCATATTGGCTTAGGAAATGACTTCTTCAATAATACTCCTAAAGTGCAAGAAATAAAATAAAGAATCAATTAAACTAAAAAACTTTTTCACTGCAAAGGAAAATATCAAGAACGTGAACAGACAGCCTACAGAATGGGAGAAAATCTTTGCCACCAGCACCTCAGATTCAGCATTTATCTCCAGGATATACAAAGAACTCAAAAAAATAAATAAATAAGACACCAAATAAATAAATAAAGAAGACAAATAACCCAATCAATAAATGGGCAAAGGAACTGAATGGGCACTTCATAGAAGAAGAAATACAAATGGTCAATACTATGTTAAAAAAAGTTCAACATCTCTAGCCATTAGAGAAATACAAATTAAAACTACACTGACATTCCATCTCACTCCAGTCAGAATTCTGATTATCAAGAATACAAGTAACAATAAATGTTGGTAAGGATATGGGGAGAAAGGTACTCTCAAACATTGCTGTTGCAGTGGCTATGGAAAGCAGTTTGGAGATGCAGTATGGAGATTCCTCAGAAAACTTGGAATGCAACCACGATTTGATCAGTTTTCTCACCCCTTGGTCTATACCCAAAGGACTTAAAATCAGCATCCTACATTGATCCGGTCACATCATTGTTTATAGCAGCTCAATTCACAATAGCCAAGCTATGGAACTAGTGTAGGTGTCCTTCAACAGATGAACAGATAAAGAAAATGTGATATATATACACAATGGAATATTGCTCAGCCATAAAGAAGAATTAAATTATGGCATTTGCTGGTAAATGGATGGAGCTGGAGAATATCATGCTAAGTGAAATAAGCCAGTCCCAAAAAAAACAAAGGCCAAATGTTCTCTTTGATATGTGGATGCTAACCCACAACAAGGGAGTGTGAGGAGGGGAAGAATAGAAACCCATTGGATTAGAAAGGGGGGAATAAAGGGAAGAGAGCAAGTCAGGGTAACACCACATCATGTACAACCACAAGAATAGAATCCTGAATAGAATAAGTTATACTCCATGTATGTATAATTTGCCAAAATACACTCTACTACCATGTATATCTAAAAAGAACAAATTAAATTTAAAAATTAAATTTTAAAAAAATGAAATTATGTCATTTGCAGGAAAACAGATGGAACTTGAGAGCATCATGTTAAGTGAAATAAGCCAAACTTAGAAAGTCAAGATTTGTGTGTTTCCTTTCATAGGTGGAAACTAGAGAGAATAAAGGGGGAAAGAGGGAGTCTCGTAAAAATAGAAGGGAAAACAGCAGAGTACAGGAAGGTAACCCAGAGGGAGAAAAAGAGGGAAAGTGGAGGTACTGGGGAACAAAATTGACCAAATTATATTTTATATTTTGTGCATTTATAAATAAATGATAATGAATTCCACTATTATAATAATAATGCACCATAAAATGCACAAATAACAAAAAAGAAAAAAAAAAGAATATTGTCCAAGAGTGATTCAGTGAGCAAGGTCAGAGATTTATTGCCTGTTCACAAACAGGCAAGGGCCCAGGAGATAAGAGACCAAAAAGGAACACAATAAACTGGGTGGTGACCAAAGGTCAATTGGTGCCCAAGTAATCCTATCCTTCACTTTCCTGAGAGTAAGCCACACTCTACCCTGTCCCAATATACTTGAGTTTATTGATATATTAAACTAAAAAAGTAAAAGATTCATTACATTTAACCTGGAAAAAAAAGGAACATGAAGGTAACACTTGTTAAATAAAATAAAAAGTGGACATAGGAGGCAGAGGGTAAAAAGTAGGGAGTCTTTAAGGACTGATTGTTCTATTATTTTCAACAATGCCCTGGGGAACAAATTGTAGGACAGTCTGACCCAGTTAAGTTCCCAGCCCTTCTCAAGTCAGTCCTTGAATTTTGTTTGTCCTCCAGAAGGCTCTTTTTAGCTGTCTTTTCCCCAGATTGACCCTGGAAAACTTCTAGCTAGCCAGCAGTTTAGCGATTGTTTTCATGGAGATACCAGTCTCCTCTTAATTGCTTGCCACCCCCATCTCTGTTGTGTAGGGCATTCAGGATCTTTGAGGTTAATCTTTCCCAGAGTTGGAACTTTGTTGTATAAACCAGCTGGGATGAAGCCAATCTGGCCCAGTATTCTCATCCTTTTGAGAAAAAAATTCCTGCCCTACAAGTGGGGGCCAGAAGGAGAAGGATATTCCCAGACTTCTCTGTCACTCTTGCCTAGAATAGAGCTTCTGTAGCATGGAGTTTGGGGAAGAGTATGAGAAGAACTGATAGCCTTTCCCCCTCAGAGAGATACTGTGTCTATCAACTGGGATTTAGGGACAGTGCTCTTGGTTTCACATGCCTAGAACAGAGCTTCTGGCCCACTGACCTGGGACTTGAAAAGGAAAATGATTTAGACTCTGGCTGCTTTTTACCAAGATTTAGTAGATTAAAAAAATAAATTTCTTAATTTGTTCTATGCCCTTAAATTAATGTTCAAAAACTTAAAGTGGTTGGGATTTTATAAATAATTTTTTTAGATATTATGATTTTTCCATAAGAAGAGGGTCAGGAGAGCTCCTCAGGGTGACATTATGCATTATGCAGTTATTCCCCTGTAGCATTATTTGTAATGCAAAAAAAATTAAAAAGGAAGAAATGAATAACAAACGTAAATACCCATTGATATGGAAATAATAAGTAAAGAAATTGTGAGGTAGTAATGGAAGATTGCCTGGGTTTTTCCCTGATTGACTCTGGAAAACTTCTATTCAAATTGAATGAATTAATTTCATATGTAAAGCATTCAGGATAATATTACATAATACAGAGCTTAATTTAAAAAAAACAATTTTAGAAAATTTCTTCCAACATATGTAAATATAGAAATATCATATGGATATATAGTTACTGTATTAAAACAGGAAATTTTGGACTGGGAGAATACAAAGTAAGCTCTAACTACCACCCCACCTTCTTCTCCATATTGGAAAGATAGGAAATTCTCCTTTATTTTTTAAGAAAAAAAGAATAGAATGTGTATTTTTACATTTAGTACACGATTAGTATTCCAGAATCATGCTGCAGGTTTTGAATATCTCACAAATGGTGAGACACAGGTAGGCACCATTGGATGACATGGAAGGTTGGTTCCTGGAATCCTAACACTCTTGGGGCTTCTGAGGGATCTTCACAGGGCAGACCAAAAAGAATCAGGACTAAGACATTCCTTAAACAAATGTTAATTAAGCTCCTACTGTGGATGATACTCAGTGCTAAGAGCTTTGATGTAATGCTTTTGAATCTTCAGAACACTTTCAAATACAGGACCTTCTTAGATGTGTTTTAGACCTGTAGATTGTCTTATTCACCCCATGTTCTTAGTACTTAACCTTAGTACTTACTGTTTCCTCAACTGCAAGATAGAACTAACAAGATCATTTCCTGCATAATTCTATCGAAGCAAAGTGATTTAGGTAAAGAGTTAAGTGTGCTTTATGGCGTATATTAAGAAGCCAAGAAATGTTGGATGCTGCTGTCACTTCTGTTTACTAGATATAGTTCTGGTCACAGGGTGAGAGGGTGTTTGGAAAACAGCAGCTCAAATGTTTGTGGCGCTCTCTGAGATGCATAACCTGAGAGAATCATAACCTAAGAATCTCAACGGTCTCCAAGAAAGGAGAACTTTCTAAATCGAAAAGAAACCGGTCCTAGCCAAGTATTTTTCAATTATGTTGCAGCCCAAGAATCTCAGCTCCAGGCATTTTCACTGCCAAGAACTGGGCTGGGTAAAAGGCAGAGGGAGTCAGGGGGCGTGGCTTGACTTGGCGGGGCACTGGAGAAGAGCCGGAAGGAGGGGCCCTGGGAAGGAGGGGCCCTGGGAAGGAGGGGCATGGCGGAAGGCAGGGCGGAAGGCAGGGCGGAAGGCAGGGCGGAGGCGGGGCGGAGGCGGGGCGGAGGCGGGGCGGAGGCGGGGCGGAGGGCGGGGCGTAGGAGCAAGGGGCTACACTGACAGCAGGAGACAACTGGAGCAGAATATTTGCATTCTAGAAGAGCCCGCAGCTTTCTGAGCCATGCTCAAGGAGGTGGTCTCTCTGGCGACCGCCTTCTGGGCAAGGCTCCAGGCCCGGACTTTGCTAGTGGGTGCTGTCGTCTTTCTGTTGTTTGCTGTCTTCAAAAGGCGGCTCCCAAAGAACTACCCACCAGGGCCCTGGCCTCTACCCGTGTTTGGCAACTTATTTGAAGTTAACATGGAGAATTCGCACTTGGATGTTCAAAAGGTAGGAAGGGGCGAAGGTGCCCGACTGCGTCCATATGCTAACCCTGACTTGCAGGACAAGGGACTTTCTGGGGACCTGGGGCAAGAGGATGGGTGGCTGGGCAGCTAGTGCTGCTAACCTGCTAAATCCCACTTTGAGCTTTGTTTACCTTACCAGACATGTGGCATCATTCTACCTACCTGCCCTTTCTAGTGGTGCAGGAGAATTAAATGTTTACTTTTTAAATGTGCTACCTAGGTTACCTTTCTTCTTAACTCATTTGTTTTCTTCTTAAACATTATTGAAATTCTTTTTTTCTTGTAATGTCCTTCTTTATCTCTGGTAATTTTCTTTGACCTAACTTTATTTGATATAATATAGCCATATCAGCTGTCTTTTGATTATTATGTGAGTAGTATTTGCTTATTTACTGTCTTACTTTTAACCCACTTTATAATCATATTTGAAATGAATTTTTGTAGACAACATATACTTGGTTGATTTTTTAAAAAATTATGCCTATCTCTATCCTTAAATAGGTCAAGGTAGGACATTTCTATTTAATGTATTCATTGCTGTGTTAGTGTTTAAGTCTACCATTTATTTATTTTTTTCCAGGGTTGTTTGTTTGTTGCTCTGTTTTTCATTCTTGTTTCCCCTTTCGTGTCTTTCTGTGAGCTACTTGGAACTTCTCTTATAAGTCAATTTTTATTCATCTGTAGTGTTTTGAAGCATATTTCTTTTTAAATGTGGTTGCTCTAAATATTATGAGCTACATTAGTAGCTTAACGGAATCCACCAGTGCAAGAATTTTCCACTTCAAGTGAAAGACAGACATAACAATTTAGGACCCTTGAACTTCACACTGTATAATTGTCTTAAACATTATATGTACATGCACTGAGAACCACAATATTATAATTTTGCTTTTAAATGTCAGATGCAATTTTAAAAAAGCAAGAACAGTCTATTGTACTTATCCATTTATTTATACAATTTGTTGCTTTTTCTTCATTTCTCTGGTTCCAAGTTTATAATTTCCTTTATGATGTGAAGAACTTTCCTTAGCTATTCTTTCAGAGCTGGGTTGCTGGCAAATAATTCTCTTAACTTTCTTTCATCTCAAAATATGTTTATTTCACCTTCCTTTCTGAAGTCTATTTTCACTGGACCTAGAATTCTAGGTTGGGAGTTTCTTGGAAGAACAGGTTTTCTTGGAAAATAGAGGCAGAAGGGAGGTACCCCAGGAATAAGAAAACTTCTGCCTTTCTTCAGAGGTAGAAGTCAAAGGTCTTCCCACATCTGTACCATAGGGAAGAATGATTCCTTATCACTGTAGGAGAAGGTGGAGATTAGAACTATGTCCTTTAGAGAATCTTTACTGGAGTTCAGGGGTGAAATCACAATTCTGCAGAGATATGACATAAGGAGAAGGTGAAAGATGAGGTTGTACCATGCTTTCCACTGCAGCTACACCCTTCAGGGGCAAGGAAGGCCACATCTTCATGATGTTTGCCTCCAGGACAGAGAATTAGGAGACTCAAATGTTTCTGTCCTGTTGGGCTCCTCTTTTCCTAGTCTTTTGGCTAAAGGTAGTAGGATTATCTTGGAGTTTTGTCTGTGATAATTGTTCTAGATTAAGAAGTTTGATCTATGTCCTTCTTTTTCTATTAGGATAGATGGGACTAGAGAAGTTAAATGATTATCCTAATGTCACAGAACTGGCTAGTGATGAGATATAATCGCACCTACTCATAAGAAGGATTGCAAGTTTGAGGTCAACCTGGGCAATTTCAGTGAGACTCTGTCTCAAAATAAAATATAAAAAGGGATGGAGATGTGGCACAGTGGTAGAGTTCCTCTGGGATTAATTCTGAGTACCACAAAATCAACCCAAAACTCTAGTCAGTTGATGAAACTGAGACTAGGATCTTATTCCCAGTCCAATGATTTTTTAAATCTCAATTTAGTTTTTATTTTATTTAGGTTTGCATTTTTATATTTCTGATGTAAAGCAAATAAAATTAAATGGCATAATTTAGTAATAATACTATTAAATTTATCTTCATGAAATTGGGAAACAATAAGTATTAAGGTCTTTTTTTCCACATTTTTATTGATAGATTATATAGTTGTGTATATAATAGAACCTGATAGGTCTTGTGTCAGAATTTTTATGTTCCTCTTCGTTTAACCTTCATGATAGGTTTAAATTTTAGGTACCATCTGGTGGCATTTCCATTTTACCACTGAGAAAACTGAGAACAAATGTAATGTGATTTTCCCAGGTTATTCAGAGGATAATGGCAAAGCAAGGTCTTGAATCCAAGAATATTTGACTTAAAACTTATTGTCTCCTATGCTACTGAATTCTGCATGATGTTAGTAGAGAATAATTGACTTTTCATGACGTAGTTATAAGCTATTTATTTGTACATGTATTTCTTCAACAAACATTTATTAAGTAATTACCATGCCAGGCAGAGCCCAAGACAGTGTCTGATGAAGAGAGTTTTACAAACTCCTGTAACCCAAATGGATACTAGGAAATGGGATCACTGTGGATGGGAAATCCTGAAGACAACCTTTTGTGGAATGTTGGAATTAATTGGATTGAATTTTAAAGGAATTTCTGGAGGTGAATGGATTAAAATGATAGGATATTTTAAATGGGGATGTGGCATGAACTAAAACACAGTGAGGAGACCATGAAGAAACTGGCCTGTTTGTGTGGCATGTGGGGAACTTTGCTTTCCCTCCCCCTCACACTTTGTAAATTTTCTCCATCATTGCTAGATGACTTATTATAGGAACCTGTATTTAAATGAAAGAAAGTCTTATTGGGCTAAGTGGAAGAACTGTACATAAGATGGGTCAATTTATTAGTTAGCAGGCACAGCAAGCTGCTTATAACAAAGAGACCCAAAATACAATGGCGTCAACAGGATTGAAATTTCTTTCTCTCTTACAAAAGAGTTCAGATATAGGCAGGAAGTCCAGGATAGAGAGGCTGTTCTGTACCACAATATCATCCAAAATCTCCAGTTCCTTCTATGCTGTTGCTCTGGTCCTTCACCAACACTATCATGTGCGAGTTCTGGCTCATGAGAAGGGGAAATGGAGGTGGTGAGCACGCAGCTTTCACTTAAGGCTTTGACCCAGAAGATGCACACATAACCACTACTCACATCCCACTGGTTACACCTAGAGAGGCTGAGAGGTATAATTATGATGCCAGCTAAAACCTAGGCAGCTCCATCACTGAGAGGAACAGAAAGAAAATATCTTTATCCTTTCAATGAAGGATGAGGCCTACAGAGGGGACTGTAAAGAGCCCAACCTTTATTTCCACTAGCTATGTGCTAAATCTTTGTGCCTCTTTTTTTCTGAAAACTAGGTATACTATGTGGGATTATTATAAGTATAAAATAAGTTTATGAATATCAAGTTATTGCCAGGATGCCTAGCATGTAGATGTGCTTATTTCTGTATTTCTATATTTTTTATTCTTCCCTTTTCTGAAATAGCTTATAGAAAAGCTAGTTGTTGGTTACAGGCTGGGCATCATTTATCTGTCCTGGTTGCTGGATGAGTCCCATCAGCCCCCTCTCTGGTCTCTGTCCCTCCATTCCTTAGATGCTGCCATTATCAGAGCCCTCTTCCTTAATTATACCCCCTGAAAAATTAGTAATAATAGTTTCATTATTAATTTTATTATTATGGTTACTTATCACAATAATCCTAAAGATAGGAACTAGTAATATTCCCTATTTTATAGAATTAGAAACCAAAACACAGAAAAGTTAAATAATTTATCCCCAAATTACACATGAAATAAGAAGCAGACCTGGATTCAAACAGGTTGTGTGACTCCTAAGTCCAGACTCTTAGTGCACTTCACCTCTCCTACTCAGATATTTCCAGGCTCTGTTATCTGTTACCAAGTAAGATCCAAATATTTCACTCCTGTGTCTAAAGATTACCACATCAGCACTGTCACCCATCTTCCTTGGCACCTGAGAAGAAACTCTTTTCTCTGTGTGCTTCTATACTTTCCCACACCAAACAACTTAAGGATGGAATAGTAACAATAAGAACTTATCTGTATGCTCTGTTAGATTGTGAGCTTCTTGAAGTTAAGGACTTATTGAATCCCCCAGCGCTGGGCCTAGACCTTCAGCATAGGTCATGCTCTTCAATGAACCTTTCACTCCAGTCAGACAGAGTGAGTCCTTTCTTCCCAGACACCCACATTTTCTGCCTTTGCATTTGTATGTGCAGTGCCCACAACGGAAAGTGTCTCTGTCTTCATAATGAATGCCCTTTTGCTGATATCCTTGCCTTCATTTAAGATCTGGCTCAAATACAATTTTCAATATCTGGCTCAAGTATTCTCTGATATCTGTGGTGGAAATTCATCTCTTCCTGCAATACTTCACATCCCTTTCTGCCAGCATTACAGCATATTTCATGTGCTATGCATTGCACTTTTTTTCTGTACAGTCGCTCTTTCTCAAGAGGTAACCTGTGAGACCATTATGCTTAGCAAGACTATATACAGTCATGCACAACTGTATTTAGTTGTACAAGGTTTTACTGGAAAGCAGATCCATGACATATACTAGATTTTCAAAGATTCCATACTCAAAAAAATAAGAACCACTATTATAAAACTTCATTTCTTGTTTCTCTAGGTTTCTCTTTTTCTTTATGGGATAAAAATGCTTTTCAGTTATAAAGGCAACACATACACACTAAGAGAATATTGTGTGTGTGTGTTTGTCTGTGTGTGTGTGTGTGTGTGTGTATTCATACATTACTTAAGGTAATGTCTATCTCATTCCTCCAATTTTTTTACACCCCTTTCCCCCTCCCTCCCCCTCCCTCCCCTTTTCTCTATCTAGAGTTTGTCTAATCTTCCCATACTCCCCCTCCCAACCCCACTATGAATCAGCCTCCTTATATTAGAGAAAACATTCAGCATTTGGTTTTTTGGGATTGGCTAACTTCACTTAGCTTTATATTCTCCAACTCCATCCATTTACCTGCAAATGTCATGATTTTGTTCTATTGTATTGCTTAGTAATATTCCGTTGTGTATATATCCCACATTTTGTTTATCCATTCAACTACTGAAGGGCATCTAGGTTGGTTCCACAGTTTAGCTATTGTGAATTGTGCTGCAATAAACATTGATGTGGCCGTGTCCCTGTAGTATGCGTTTTTTAAGTCCTTTGAGTATAGACCAAGGAGTGGGATAGCTGGGTCTAAGGTGGTTCCATTACCAGTTTTCCAAGGAATCTCCATACTGCTTTCCATATTGGCTGCACTATTTTGCAGTCCCACCAGCAATGTATGAGTGTGCCTTTTCCCCCACATCCTTGCCAACACTTATTGTTATTTGTATTCTTTTTAGCTGCCATTCTGAATATTATTCAGAGAAATAAGACCTAAAGCATTGAACACAATGGCTAACATTTATTGATTACTTACAACATCAAGTTCTTTAGTGTTTATGTATTATATAATTTAACACTCATAGAACCTCTATGGGATAGATACAATTATTGCCCTCTATAGGACATTAGATTATATTTCTATATTTGTACATAATAAAGATAAAATTATATTAGTGACTTCTTACTAGGGGTTCTATGTATCAATAGGAAAAATGTTGAACACCCCATACAAAAATGTTTGAAAGTTATAAACAGATGATTGAAAAATACAACATGTAGATAGAAGGAAAAATGTTATATCTGAGAAAAATACAAAAGCAGCATGCATTTTTGGATGATACACACACACACACACACACACACACACACCACGTGCACACATGTATGGCTCAGTGCTAGTGGCAATTTAAAAATAAAACCTCTTATCTTCTGCTGCTTGAAGTGTGAATTGGTACCCTGGTCCTTTTCTTTCTCTTCCTGTCTTTTAGTGTCTTTGTTCTGCTGTCTCTTATAAGAACTTAGATTAAGTTAGAATCTTTTGGTCATAGTAGTTCAATCTCTTGTCTCACTAACCTTTCACTTTAATTTTGTTTATTGTAAACATTCGTTTAACTACACTTTGTTTTGTAAGCTTAATCCTACAGTTGGAGTTTTTATTCCCACTATTGAATTTCCTGTCCCCATTTCTTTTTGTTTGCCTTTTATAACTTCTAAGTCAATCCTTTTTCTATTTTCATTTGTCATCTTAAGCCTATTTGAGTCTTCTGAACCATCTCATAAATTTTAACCTCTTTTCTTCCGTTACTCTCTGTTTAAATTTTTTTAAAATGACTTGTTTGATGATATCTATTGAAAAATTCGCTCTGCCTTATGAAATCTCAGGTGCACTCTGGATCGATCATTCAATCAATATTGAATTGGTTGAGAGACTGGGTACATTTAAGAATTGCTGAACGCTGCAATAATCAGTTCTAGAGCTCCAGGAGGTTATTTAACCTATCCATGTTTACATACTTGATAATGCTATAAAAGGTTTGATCCAGTTCTGATGAACAAAAATACACATGGGCAGAGAACTTGTAAAGATGGAATGCTGTAGTTCATTTCAGTAAATAGTGTTGAAGGTCTGAATCCTTCCAAATAAAAGTTAGATTCTAGATTTATGTATTCCCCATTACGAGTCACTTAACTTAACTTGAGATTTTCAGCTAAATAAAAAAAAAAAATCTTAATTGAAGTTCTAAATTAGTCAGTGAATTCTTATAAGGCTTAAAAACGTTGTACAGGCTTTCATCAAGATGAAATAACAAATTTTACATGTGTGAACCATTACTACCATTTCTTAGAAGAAATGACTTGTAAGTTTTGGGTTTTCCCTTGCTAGCAAGACAGGGAGATTAACCCAGGACTCTGGATCAAAAGAAAAATGGAAGAACTAAGCTCAGGCTTTGTCTTTAAGGTGAATACAGGATGGTGGGATGAGACTGCATCCATTGAGTCTGCTCTGATGGAACCAATGTTAGGGCTCTAAGAGCATCATGGTGGAATGTTAAGTGTGTGGGGATGGAGATGGGGAAGGAGGCCACAGATAATTGCAGGAATTGATTCTTTCTGTCTGGTACCACTGCTACAGCTTGACCCTATCCAGGCAGACAAAAAGCAGAGGGTGGGTCTACTTAGGGATCATTCTTGAATAGAAAGGTTGAAAAGAATTTTGAATAATGATCATATGCTATTGTCCAACCCATAGTTGCACAATTAATCCCAATCTAATATCTCTTTCCCTATCATCCCTTACCCCACATCTCTCACCCTCCCTTTCCTTCTCACTTTCATTTTCTTATTCCCACTAAACTTTAAGTTCCTAGAGCCATCCCAAATTCATATCTCTAGCCTCAAATCTTACAAAATGTTTGGCAAGTTCCCTCTACTACTAAATAGCTTTGTCACTGTGTTATATCACTTCAGCTACCACCATTTTTTTTCTGCTACTAGATGAAGAAAGTCCTTACTACACAGAGTGACCATTAGATTAGTGAGATAAAGCATAAAAGATGCCCACCATGGCACCCAGGGAACACAGCTGTTTCTGACCACAAGCACCTTCCTCCTGCATTTTAGTGTACTCCTGTCCTCACTATCACCCTGTGGGTGCACCCACATTCCTTTGCACACAGAACTCATTCATTCCATGGAGACTCTCTGGGTGGCTGTGTGCCTGGAACCAGAAAACAAAGTGCCTTTCATATCACTGCTCTCATTCTTCCTTACAGAACTTTAGAAGGGAGAATTAATTTTCTTTTTTATAACAGGGAAGCCAAGCCTCAGAAAAATGAAGGAACTTTCCCAAGAGCCCACAGTTGGTGAACCCCAGAGCCAAGATCCTCCCATAGCTCCAGAGCTGGAACAGTCTCTCCATATGTGGCCTGCACCCTGTAAAGCACTTCCTGTTATCTGGCACATGCTGAGGAAGAGGCTTTCTCCTCTGGTTACTGATATTTTGATTTATCTTAGTAAAAGTGCCACAGGAGAGCAGGGAGCTGAAACTCCAAACTTTGGTTCTTGTGTTCTGATGAAAGAAAATTTAAAGTCAGACACCAAAAGTCAGATAAGAGAACTTTATTAGAAGTGAAAGTGAGGTGAAAAGAAAAAAAAAAGTAAAAGAAAAGTGAGGGATAAGCAAAAAGCACTCTCAAGGGAGAGAATGGGCCATCTCCAATAAAGAATGACAAAGGAAACAATGCTATCCCCAATTTCATTCCTATTTGATGTTTACCAGGAGAACTGAGGACCACCTTCTGTACTCTTTGCCAATCAGGTGTTCAACTCTTCCTTTACATCAGGTGGTGGAGTTTTAGACCTTAGTTGGTCCTCTCCAGAAATTTCATGGTGGCCATTTTATTTCAGGGGGGCTTCATCTATAAGTCAATCCTATGTTAATGTCAGCACTGGGGTGAATTGCTGGTCAGAAGTTACCTTAGTGCACCTGCACTACTAAAGGGATCTTTCTCCCTAGATAAATGGAGGTACTTTTAGGAGATACTTTTAGCCATAATTCCTAGCTTCATGTCAACATCAATGGACTCTATCAAGAGTTAGTACCATTAATCCTTTTCTCTTGACATATTTCCTGATAAGCTCATTTCACTTCTGTTTTTTTTCTACGAATTATCACATTTTGTTGTCTTCTTCACTTTTGAAATAAAGAAGACACTAACGTTAGTTAAAGCTACAACCTAACAAAAGAAAAAAAAAAGATTTAACTTCTTAAATTCCATATTTGCTACACCAGACTTACATTAAACATACCCAACATAAACCTTATAGACAAAATAATATAATATGAAGACACAAAAATGTATATAGGAAAAACAAAGTCTTAAGGACTATTTAATATCTTTAGATAGAGAAAGATTATTTATATAAATTAATGAAAGTTGTTAAAATACTAAAATTAAAAACCCACTAAATTGAAAATGGATACTGATAACCCAGAAAATCATATTAAAAAATAAGATTCCCTCTCCCCATAAGAAAAAGAAAAAGAAAAAAAAAAAGCATACCCAGCAAATTTTGGAGTTCAGATGTGCTTTCGCTAAACTCTAGGATGCCTCAGGTTAGGGACCTTGTTTATTTTAGTTAGTCATATCTTTATGCCTTCTTTTAGTGACACATGGTAGATGCTCACTCTATTCATACTGGTTAAATATATGAATATATGTTCATAAGGAAACTTCCAAACCTCCGTGAACTAAATTTGAGTTTAGCTGAGGAAAAAAAGTTCAGAACTATTCCTATCACACACACTTCCCTCAATGTGAGCCCTTTAGCTTCACACATGCCCTGTGTCCCCAGACACACAGACAAGTGCATGTTTAACTGTGACTATAACTGTTTTTCAGTTGGTGAAGAAATATGGGAATGTTCTTGGCCTGCATTTTGGTAATGTGTCTTCAGTGCTCGTAACTGGACTGCCCTTAATCAAAGAAGTTCTTTCTCAGACAGACCAGTCCTTCGTGCACCGCCCTGTAACCCCTCTCCGAGAACGTATCTTTAGGGAAAATGGTAAGTTTATTGATGACAATAAGGTGTGCATTTGAAATGCTATGGTCTCTTCACCATGCCTCTATGCCTATAATTTTCTGACACTTCCAGAAGTTAACCTCATTATGAAATAAATGCCTTCCATTATAAGAAGCCAAATGCCCACATTTCCTGGTTGAAAACATCTCCTTCTAAAGATTTGTCTGAGTGGTTCCTGATAGAGATTTTGGAGAAACCACATGTCCTGCACAAACTCTGGATGCTTTGATAATGAAGTAATCATATCACCTAATTATAACAGAGGAGGAAACAGTTTGTGAAGAAGCTTCAGACCTAATCTTCAAAGAACTCTGCCATTTCAAGATTTGATAGAAGATGAAACGGAACAGGATATAAGAAGTTTCTGGAAGGGATTAAGAAGAAAATATGGAAGTGAATACCCTGAATTCCACCAGATATGAGTGTGCAAGAAAAATGCATCTCATGCTGCTGCTAAAAGACCAAGTGAAACGAGGTTGAAAGATAGCCCTGGACTGACTGCAAGGAGGGACATTTCACTGGGTTGGTGGAGCTGTGATGGCAAAACCAGACCTGGTTGTGAAATGAATTATAAAAAATGTTATGGTAAGAGGGACTGAGGCTGTGGCTCAGTGGTAGAGCGCTTGCCTAGCACATGTGAGGCACTGGGCTCAATTCTCATCACACATCTATCTAAAAAATTATTTTTAAAAAATGTTTTGGTAAGAAAACTATGCCTGGGGAAGGTTCAGTTGCCCTCCCCTCTCTCAGACTTTCTCTTGGAAGCCTAATTAACCATGGGTTGAATAACCTTTTGAATTGTAAATAACTACCCTAGGGATCTGACTACCCCCTCTTGAAAGAGCCCTTTCTTCCTACCTGTTTCTGTGAGCATGTTAGAGACCCTGCACAGGGCCTTTAGCAGAGTAGATTAGGAAAAATTTTAAGAGAAAAAAGCCCCAATGATAGGACAGGTCTAAGATGACATGAAATCATGAATAAATGTTGTGAGAAACTGTGGATCAGGGCTCAGAATTTGGAGTTTTGTTTTCCTCCGGGCCCACCAGCATAAAATAGAGTTTGGAGTTCTCCTCTCTGAGTATTGCTTGCTGCTTCTCCCCCAGTCTTGTTTCCCACAACAGAGCCAAAGCCAGGCATCACAAGAAGTTGAGGAGTAGCCATGGGGAAGTGGAAGGGCGCATGGCATTGCCTGTGTAGTGAAAAGGATGGTGGTCTTTTGCACACAACAGGATGTTTTTCCCCTTTCTCCTATGCTGTTCTTTCTGTGTGGAATACTCACTGGTCTCTTGCTTTGTTGAATGATTCCTTCATCTTTTAAGGTCACACTTAGGACCTCTCCTTTATAGGACTTATCTCTGAGTGCATTCTTGGTGCTTAGCTTGCCATAACTACTGAGCTGTACTTATGTGGCTACTGATTAAAGCATGAGTTTTAGAATCAGGGAGACTTGAATTTGAGTACCTGGTTAACTGATTACTATATGACCTTGCAAAATTTACTTTATCCCTTATTCCCATTCAGTAAAATTCAGGGGAGGGCAGAGGAGGGAGGGCAATAAGTGTATCTATCCCATAGAGCTTCTATGAGTGTTAAATTACGTAATACATAAAAACACTAAATAACTGATGTTGTAAGTAATCAATAAATGTTAGCCATTGTGTTCATTGCTTTAGGTCTTATTACTCTGAATAATATTCAGGTGTCTTAATGTCCCTCCTCTTTTCCATCTGATACACATTTCCATACAATTTGCCAGATATTTGCATAGTAGAATCAGAATACCATAATATTGGCTTTTCCCCCCTAGGATTGATCATGTCTAATGGCCAAATATGGAAGGAACAAAGAAGGTTCACCCTGACAACATTAAAGAACTTTGGTTTAGGAAGGAAGAGCCTGGAGGAACGCATCCAGGAGGAGGCCTACCACCTTGTTGAGGCAATCAAAGAGGAGAATGGTGAGCATTTCACAAGAGCATTTACAGGAGCCTGTGGCCTATGCATTCACTGGATAGATACTTTTTAAGTGCCTAAGTGCTTGCCCTATGACCAGCACTGTCCTAGGCTCTGAGGATACAGTAGGAAACAAATACCATGACACTTCTCTCAAGGAGTGCTAGAATTCAGTGCGCAAAGACAAACATTAAACATATTATGGTATTTAAGTCCTGGTTATCAGTTCAACCTCCCTGGCATTGACTGTATCCTTGCTGTATCACAGACCCCATATAGGGGGCTGTGGCCAGCACCTCCTCTAGGATTCTCTAGTAGGTATATCTGTGTCAGCTAGAATAGACTCCTGTAGAAAACAGGAAGAAACCAATGATTTTGAAGAACTCTCTACCTTTCTCTACCTCCAGGACAGCCTTTCAACCCTCACTTCAAGATCAACAATGCAGTTTCAAACATCATTTGCTCCATCACCTTTGGGGAGCGCTTTGAATACCAGGATGCTCAGTTCCAGGAGCTGCTGAAGTTACTGGATGAGGTCATGTTTCTGGAGGCTTCGAGATTCTGTCAAGTAAGCAGTCATCTTCTATATGCTGGTTAAGGCCATTGGGGCTGATCTCATATACACATAGCTGCTGCTGCTGCTGCTGGTGCTTCTTCTTCTTCTTCTTCTTCTTCTTCTTCTTCTTCTTCTTCTTCTTCTTCTTCTTCCTCTTCTTTTTAATTGAAATGTAATATTTTTAAATTAATTTAACAAAAACTTACTTGAAATCAGCTTTTTGACTTTAGTGTTTTTAATAATGTTGAAAATTTACTAAATGCAAGAAACATTTCTAAGATTCCTGTAGAGTTCAAAATTATACAAGACATACACTTATACACCTATGTTGTTCTTTTTCAAAAGAACATATTGCCATTGCCCTTGCCTTTGAATGTCTCCTCTACATGTTACTTCCCAAATATCCATTTCCTTCCTGCCTCAAGCACCCTCTGAATGCAGTTTCTCTCCTGGTGTGTTGTTTTAAGATTCGCCTGATTCGGTTGCTTTTCTTCTTCTTCTTTTTTTTTTTTAATGCAGACTAGCTTTGCCTTGTATTGAATGTGCCCCTGTTTGTTAATCTATTTGCTAATTTTGAACAAATTTTAGCCTTTTCCAGCTTTCATATTATGAATAGAGCTGCAACCAATATTCTTTTACTAGTGTTCATGTGGACACACTCACTCATTTGTCTTGCATATGTATCTGGGCATAAAAGATAACTAAAGATTTCACACTATTTACATAACCATCAGCACATGTATATATATATATATAGTATATACTATATTATACTTCTCTAGGCCCTTATATTTTAGATGTTTTCTTTTTAAACAGCATAAAAATGAATATAAATTTTGTACCCAATTCGACAATATTTTTCTTTTTATTGATGCATTTAGTTTCTTTTTTCAAGTTTATTGTCAAATGAAAACTAATTCATGATCACTTTATGGCTTTTATATTTCTTCTGTTTGGACTCATTATTATTAAATATATTTTAATTTTTCCTATATTCATTTAGAAGATTAAGATTTTTTCTATTTCTTTAGTCTTTACCTTAAAATTTTTATTATTATTATATTAGTCATTACCCTAAAATTTTTAATATGCACAATTAACTGCCTGCATCTGAGATTAATACCTTTGTGCTGTGCTGAAATAATACATGATCTTCAGAACGCACCTCTTCTCACTCCTTTAGGTTACTGTCATCACGTATTTTAGTTTGTTCTTTTTTTAACTGGAGAGTACATGATCAATATTGTTTCATGCAATGTCTGCTTATATTTACCTATATATTTATCAGTTTCTATTTTTATCATCCTATTTTGGATGTTAAAGCCCCCTCCTGAATTTCATTTAGTGGAGATCAATTGATGGTAAATTCTTTTGGATTCAAAAAGATCTTTACACTGTGATTTCCTCTATCTTGGTCTTGTGATTTCTATCAAGAGAATGATCATGAGCCAAGACAACCCTTTCCTAGGAGAGCCCTGACCAGCAGGAGAGTTAGGTTTAGGTCTGATCAGGTAAGACACAGTACAGAAGCTCATGAAATAACAGAAGCAAGATACTACTCCTAAATCCTGAGAGTGAGAGGGCCCACAAGGACTGATGGGAGATCTGGGAATGGGAGGGTCTCAACTAATGGGTGGAGAGAGAGAGAGGCAGAGAGACAGAACCTGTGAGACCAAGCCTTCATTAAAGGCCTTGGTGGTCTCTCAGGCTTTCCCTGGGGGTGGTCAATTGCTAGCTTAAAGAAAACACTCTTGGGCTTAAGATAGAAACATATTTAAACAACTCCACTATTAACCATTATGTTTATTTCATGGTCAGCAGCTATGGGATGTGTTGCCATGGGGCCGGTAATATGAAGAATAAGCAAACTAACTGTATTATTATCACAAAGGAAGGAGAAGTTTAACTAGGCCAAAGGCTATGGTACAATGAGGTTTTAAGTGGCTCATGTCAAATTGAATGGGTGCCAAGGCAGCAAGTGTATTAAACAAACTTATGATACTTTATTTTGCTTAAATTAAATATTTAAAGAAGTTTGACTTGGGCGGAGGATATGGCTCAAGTTGTAGTGCGCTCGTTAGCATGCGTGAGGCATGGGGTTTGATTCTCAGCACCACATAAAAATTTAAAAAAAGAGAGAGATATTGTATCCACCTAAAACTGTAAAATAAATATTTTTTAAAGAGAGAGAGAGAGAGAATTTTTTAATATTTATTTTTCAGTGGACACAACATCTTTATTTTATGTGGTGCTGAGGATCGAACCCAGTTTCCCACGCATTCCAGGTGAGCGCGTTACTGCTTGAGCCACAACGCCAGCACCTGAAAAATAAATATTAAAAAACAATTTGACTCTTTTCTCTTTGCATACTGAAAATATTCTTTCAGCATCATCTAGGTTTGCACTGGTGCCAGGGAGAGTCAGCTACAAATGTGATTGCTATTTCTTCAAAACTACTTTTTCCTTTTCTCTGGAAGCATTTTATATGGATGCATTAATCCTCTGTGGTTGGACTGTCCAGTGGAAAGTGACAGGGAGGGATAGAACGGAGGTGGTGCGGTTGCAGGGACCAACTCTGTAGGGCTTATAGGCCAGAGAAATTATGCCAGACTTTATCAAGGATAGTGGAAAGCCATTGGAGGATTGAAAGGTAAGGAATCAAACTGTTAAATGATACCCCAGCAGCTCTGTGGAAAATAGGCTGGGAACAGGATAAAGAGTGGAATAAGGAAATTTCTGAAAGCTATGGCAACATTTTGGTAGGAGACAGTGGTGGTTTCTTGTGGGAGGACTGGTGAGAAGTGTGTGGAGGGTTGAATGCCTGCCAGAGTGAATAGAGAGAAAGGAAAAGTCAAGGATGACTCCTCAGCTTAAGCATAAGCAAATAAAAGAGATGGAAAGAGAAGACTGTCCCCAAAAGTGCAAAAGTGGCCCCATGCTGTCTCCATGATCATTCTGTTTTTTGCCATTAGTTCTATAATGTCTTTCCATGGATAATGAAATTCCTCCCTGGACCTCATCAAACTGTCTTCAGCAACTGGGAAAAGCTGAAATTGTTTGTTTCTCATGAAGTTGAAAAACACAGGAAAGACTGGCATCCTGATGAGTCAAGAGACTTTATTGATGCTTACCTCAAGGAAATTGTGAAGGTGAGGAAAACGAATTTGTCTCCTCTGATTTTTTTTTTCTTAAAGAACAAATAGCTGTATATTAGTTTCCAATAGCAGCTGTAACAAGTTACCACAAATTCAGTGGCTTAAGATGGTACAGATGTGTTGTTTGTTTTCTTACTGTTCTGAATGACAAAAGTCCAGTTCTGAATGACAGAAGTCAAACTGCAGTTTCACTGGGCTAAAGTCAAGGTGTTGGCCAGCTTAGATCCTATGAAGTCTCTTAAGAATTGGTTTCCATGGCTTGCCCAGCTTCCAGAGGCTTTGGATTGTGGTTCCTTCCTCCATTTTTAGCACCAGGGTAGCATCACCTCTCCTCTCTTGTCTCCCTGCTTCCATCTTTACACTTTCTCTCTCTGACTTTGATCTTCTTCCCTCCATCTTGTAAGGATAATACAGGACAATATTCCTAACTCAAAACCCTTAGGTTTAATCACATCTGCAAAGTCCGTTTTGCTATATGTTGTCATCTTTTGGGATCATGGTTCAATCATGGTTCAATTTTATATGGATGCCTTAATCCTTGATTAATCCCTGGGGTACCATTTAATCTTAACCCTATTCCACTCTTAACCCTATTCCCAGCCTATTTTCCACAGAGCTGCTGGGGTATCATTTAACAGTTTGATTCCTTACCTTTCATTCCTCCAATGGCTTTCCACTATCCTTGATAAAGTCTGGCATAATTTCTCTGGCCTATAAGCCCTACAGAGTTGGTCCCTGCAACCTCATCATAGGTGAGTAAAAATTACTCAGGAGGCTGAGGCACTTTGAAATAAAGACAGAGGTTTAATGGCATTTGGTTTTAGGCCCTGAAAATGCCCCAATACTTCCTTTTCATCCCCATCACCTTCCCCTACCTGTACCTGAAGGAGCTAGATACAAAAGGGAAAAGAGAAATTGAGCTTCAAAGCTCTGTTTTAGATGTTCTGGCCAGTAACCTACTCGTCCTCTCAGCTGTCACTGCAGAGAACACATGTAAAGCTGAACTGGATACCAGATTTTAACCTTAAGGTCTGAGTGGGGCTTCTACTCCCTCCTCTTCTCACCCACTTTCCAACTTTTCTGACAAGAATCAGGAAAAAAACCCTAAGTGGATACAGGCCTTGAACGTGGTGGTCCTCTGGCTAATGTACAACACTGAATCAATGTTATAATCTTTGACTCATCAGATCATGTATTCCTATATCTGGAGGGGGCAGAATGGTGAATTTCTTTCCATCTTAGCTCTTATTTACCTTATTGGCAAAATATTCATAAAATTAATATTAATTTTCTCCTTAGAGGAGGAGACTTTATTTGCTAGATGGTGTACAGGTATGTGACCATTGACATTAACAGCAATGTTGAAAAACAAGCTTTCAAGAAGAAGGTAGAAAAGATGATGGAGTGTTATAAGGAATAGTTGATGGAATCTATGAGGTTTAAACTATAAAAGCTGTATGGGGAGATATGATAAATGTGCAATTCAGTTTATACTTTCTGGTATCGGCACAAATATTCATTGAGTATTTGCTATATCCCTTTTGCATGTCACATAAATTATAATGCCATCTTAAGGCATGCTTCTTACTCCCATTTGATAAAGCAGGAAATGGAAGTACAGAGATGTTAAATAACTTATCCTAGGTCATATAGCTAAGCTTATCTAATGAATGATGGGGTTGATATTGGAAGCCAAGTCTGTCTCATTCATAGCCCATTCTCTTTCCACTGTACTATTAGCTTCTCCGGAATTACAGGCATAAAAAAAAAGTGGTTGTTTTGATTTTTATCCACTACCATCTAAAAAGTTTCCAGCACTTCCAGTTACCTACCCCTTCTCTCAGGCCCCATTGCAGACAAAGTTAATGATATTGCTGCCCTCTGAAGAGAGACTTTCCCCTTAGGAGAAAGTCATTTCTTCTGAGGACATTTCCTTCCAAGTTCTTTCCTTTGAATGAAACCCCAGTGTTTTTTGGCAACCACAAGTCCTCTGAATAAACCAACAAATAACTGTCTTCTAGTACACAGACAAGAATGCTTCAAGTTTCAATGAAGAGAACCTCATCTGCAGCACCCTGGACCTCTTCTTTGCTGGAACTGAGACAACTTCTACAACGCTGCGCTGGGGTCTGCTTTACATGGCCCTCTATCCAGAAGTCCAAGGTGAGAGTGGCAGCGAATGTGCCTGGCCCAGGACACATGGTGCCTCCTGGCCACATGGCTCAGGATTGAGGAGAAGCTGGCTGGGTGAGCAGGGAAAGACAGAAATTGTTGAGAGGTGGTGCAGTCTTGAGCATGCACACATTCGTCGCTTTTTAGAGAGGAATATGAGGAGTCCAGGTAGGATAAGTGTTAAACTCCATGTGTGCATGAAGCTCTAGGTCTAGGGGAAAACAATGAGGCCAATTGACTTTGTAATGGGGTCCAGCAAAGAGTTACAATCTCATATGAGTATTTATTCTTCCATTCTTTTCAGCAATCCCTTCCTCTTTCCCCCAGATAATGCCCAGACACATTTTTGGTACTGTTTTCTTTTTCTTTTTTCCAGTGTTGAGCTTCAAAACCAGGGCCACATGCATGCAAGGCAAGGTGTCTGCCACCCCACAAAGCCACATCCCCAGCCTGTCTAGACTCCTTAGTCTGGTAATAATGCCCTCTGATGTGCCATTTTCTGCCTGTCCTGCCTCAGCAGCACCCATCCTGCATTGGTGGTTTCACTGAATTCTGTGTCATTTTCTTGACACTGTCCTAAGTGTCTGAATCACAATATCTGGTCTTCCCTCTGTCAAGAACATGCTTTCTGAGTTTCTCCACATGCTGAATCCCCAACTCTTCTAAAAGAATTCTTCCAGTACTACTACCTAAGATGTTTCTTCATTCCTGGTCATCTCTAGAGATGAGCCGGGCACCTCTATTGCCATGCTTAGAGCACATTATATATATAGATTCCCCCAAAGACTCTCATTCCTTCAAGGACAATGGCTATTCCCAACATTTTTATTTCTCCAGGTTCTAGAACAGTTTGGGCAGGTGGAGGGTGGAAACAGTCATGGCATGTTTTCTAGAATTGTGGGTAACAATTTATTAATGAGGCATAAGATCAATTGAGTAGATCAAGGTCAATGCCCCCACTCCCCCAAAATAAAAATAGAAAAGACTGAAGTGCTTGCCATCTATTAAGGATATATTTGTTAATAAAACTTTACTTCTCTCACATAATAATTTACAAATGCACGCTTTATATATGTGTATGTATACGTGTGTATGTGTGTGTGTGTATATTTATATATATACATACATACATACATACATACATACATATAGCCACACTTGGTCCCAGAAAAATCTAGGAAAAGTAGCTTTTAGCTGGACAGTGAGGTAGCCAGCTCAAATGTCTATGAGTGTAGAAAATGAGGCAAATATATTTGAAGACAGCTGCAGTTTCCATGAGCTGAGCCATGGCGATCCTGATCCTGTTTAATGCTTACCTAAATGAGTTCATGTAATTCTCAAAACATCTTTCACATGAAAGTTGACTTAGCCTCACTAATCAGATGAAGAAATTGAGGCTCCAAGGATCTGAGTACATTGCAGCAATAATTTTGTAGAGCAGGAGTCTGCTATTCACTATCTACTCCCATGCTACCCTTGAGAAGTGAGAGTCTTCAGATCTGCTAGGATCCAAATACTTGTGTCTTCCTCACCAAATCCCTGTGCGGAAACCTAATTATCAGAGTGGTGGTATTGGGAGGTGATGAGTCTTCATGATTGGCATTTAGTGCCCCTATGAAACATTCCCAGCAAGCTGCCTTGCTCCTTGCAACATGTGAGGACACAGCAACTAGATGCCACCTCTGAACCAGAAAGTGGGTTCTACCCAGGAACCACATATGCTGGTGCTTTGGTCTTAGACAGCCCAGGTTTCCGATCTATGAGAAAAAAATTTCTGTTGTTTTTAAGCCACTCCATTTATGGCACTTTATCATAGAAGCCTGAATAAGAAAACACCCTACTATGAGCTTAGCCACATTGATCCTGGGCATTTCATTCCTGAGACTCAAGGAAAGTGACTGAGTTGACAATTCTCTGATTAAGTCCATTGAAGGGTTAAGGAACATTTTATTTTTTTGCATCCTGCCCACTATTTGAAATGACATAGGTGAGATCTAATAGAACAATCCTACATCTTTAGAAGAAAGTATTAAAGTTTCAAAAATAATAGAATCTCCCTCTTCTCTTCCAGAAAAAGTGCATGCTGAGATTGACAGAGTGCTAGTCCAGTGGCAGCAGCGAAGCATGGATGCCAGAGAGTTCATGCCCTACACCAATGCTGTCATCCATGAGGTGCAGAGAATGGGCAACATCATCCCTCTGAATGTCCCCAGGGAAGTGGTGGTTGATACCACTTTGGCTGGATACTACCTGCCAAAGGTAAGGAAGCACACCCAGCCTCAGACTTCAAGCCTGTCTTTGAGACCATCACAGAACTTGCATTTGTATTTGAAAAGTCACATATGTTCCTATCCCAAGCATCACCTAGATGGGGAGATACATTATACTTGATATAATACTAACTTTTTCTCCATGGATTTTACCAGACATAGGTAATATGGGGAATAGAGGATGAAACATTCCTAATTCAAATGTGTTTAATCAAGACTAGTTTGTTGGTGTGTGTGTTTGTTTTGTTTTGCTTGCTGTGAGACTTCTCAGTGTTCTCACTCTGTGATGTGCACTGTGGCTCATGGTGGCACACAGATGGCAGCAAAAGTCTCTGTCAGATTTTGCCATAGAGCCCTGTTCTTTACCTTGGAGAGCATCTCTCAAAACTGGAGACCAGCCAGACTTTGGAAAATGTGGAAAGATATTTGAGATTACCTGGTCCCAAACCACATTAATGCTTATGTTTCTAATATCATGTCCCCACAGGTATTTTTACAGCTTTTACCTACAGCCCCATGATGGGGAACTCTCCATTTCATAAAAGAAGCCACTCCAGTGTGTGCAATGTTCATGATTAGAACGGGAGAACAAGGAACGAATATTTACTCAGCCATGTAGCCTCTTTCAAAATATCTTAGTTCTCAGGACAACTATTATTCCCATCTTATAGATTGGGAAGTTGAGTCTCAGGGAAATTAAGCTTGCATGAGATCTCAACTACGAAGTGACAATAGCTGGATCTAGAACCAGAGCTGTTCTAATTATTTGTATGACGTGATGCTCCCTCCACAGGACTCTTTTGCTTTGACTTAAACAAAAACAAAAACAAAACCAAAAAACTCCTTTTAATTTTTCCCTACTGGTCTCTGTTAAATCCCTTGGCGTCACTAACAGAATTCAGATCACACTCCACCCACCACTTTCAAGATCTCTGCAGAGGGTTCTCCTGGGTCCCCCAGGGTTCTTTCTCTATGATGCACACTTACAGTTCCTTCCTTGCTACTGGATCTATTCTAGTTTGTCCAAGTCCCTCCACATATGTTGTACTTGGGAACAATCTCCAGAGTTAGAATCAAAAGAGAATCC